CCCCACCCCACCCCACCCCACGCCCCACCTTTGACTTGCAGCTTCTCCTGACAAAGTCAGGAGTCCTTCGAGCATGCTGAAGACCATCAACAGCAATGACAGAGGTCCTGACTGAGTAGGAGGCAGGCTTGCTTTCTTATCAGTTCACCTATTTCAGGGTATCTTAGGCAAACAGCAGTGATGAGGTCTTCCCCTCCCTTAAGTCAGCTCATAGCACCTCAGAGGCTGGGGTCACACCATGGTGGACCCTAGGACGGCTTCAGCGAGGATATCTCCCTCCATAGTTTCTCAGCATGAAATTGAATAATTGAACTAGTAAGCCTTTCGTGTGAGTAATAATGGCTTGTGGCCTCTGGATAATTTTTTAAACAAAATTGATTCTGCTGCCTGTGTGACATTAAGTGGTGTGGTGTTTTTACCTAACCTTTTTTTTTTGAGGTAAACAGACTTTCATTAGCAGAGGGCATGTGGCAATGTCAGCAGTCTATTTTCTCTTCCTCTGTTTCCAAAAGCAGTTCGTGTTGTCAGTGTCCATTTCACTTTTATAAACTGTACTTAGTTCTGTTCTTGTGTAATTCTGACTGTGATCGCTGACTGAACCTCAGTCTTGCATAGTCATCTAGTGATTTTTAGTTTGATTAAAGGTGACCTGAGACCTCATGTAAAGTGAACAGCCAAAGTGCTGTGACTTCATCTTCTAAGTAATTTCAGTTAACACCCTTAGTGCTGTCTTTAGAGTTTTCATCTCCTGGTTTACCAAATTGAAATTTGTAAATCACATAGGTAACCAATTACTTATTGCTGAAGCTAGCAATAAATTTAGTTTCTGATACTGTATGTAGTAATTTAAAATTTCAGTTGAGTAATTTCATGATTCGAGATACCATTAAAGCCATAGCTTTGCTTTTTCAACCTGACAGTTGGATATTTAAATTGTTGTCTCTTCTTTATTTGTATATATGTCAGGAAAGATTATTCTGGTTAGTTCTGAGTCACCTAACTGACTGTTTAATTGTTCTGTTGTCCACAGTTATTAAGCGCTCTGAGTATTTGTATTTGATAAATTTCAGCTAAATTAAGAATATGATTGGTCTCCATTTACAAATACACATGGATGTTCTAGTCTTTAAAACATCTAATAAATATTTAAATAAGTAAAAATTCTTCAACTTTTTACTTAAATATTTTAACTTTTTCTATCTAAAATGTATATTCCTTAAAGATATTTAATAAATGAATTTT